TAGTGATCTCAAAAAACGTGAGTAATGTTAAGGATATGAATAGTTACCCACCGTTTTTACTGCTGTGCATATAGTTTACCCACCTTAAATTTCTTGTTACCACTACACCACTGTTTCATTTCTTCATGATAGAAATCTATAGTAATATCAAATGTTTTAGTACTCAAGACCAGTTTTTGATGGTCTTGATCTTGTCTTGGAATCAGCCGTATTTGTACTCATTTTTGTCATGGACTCGGGATTTTATTTCGAGACCAGCTTTGACCATGTCACGTTCGGCTTGGAGGCGAGCAGGGAAGCAGGCGAGAGCAGCCAGGAAGTCCGGTAACAGGGTTTTATTAGACGATACGACGAACAGGCACGGACATCCACGGACAATACAATGACGGATCTGGCATACATGGGGAGACACGGACTCATATACACAGAACAAGGCAAAAGAAACAGGAAACAGCTGGGCACAATCGGGGAAGCACACGTGGATAATTAGGGGGCGTGACACACACTAGGAGCGGACGGAGCGGGGCGTGACATAACCCCCCCCCCAAAGGCTCACACACTGGGCTCGCCCGAGAGGAGGCGACGGACGAGACGGGACCGGGGAACAGGACCTGGAAGACAAAAGCAGAACACCATCAACGAGACACAGGAAACCGGACCGAAACACAAAACAAGATCAAGGACCAAAAGAAAGACAGGACCTGACAGAGGACGGGGATTGCAGACAGACAGACAAAGAAGGGAGACACAGAAGGGGAGAAAGGCGGAACAAAAGGGCCAGGAGTGAACGGAGGAGGAACAAAGGGACGAGGACCAGAGACAGGCGGGACAAAGGGAAAGGGAGGCGGAAAAAGGGGAGCCCGAGGGAGCCCAGGCGGGCGACGGGCAGCGGCCGGAGGGTCTGCAGGGGAGAGGGAGGAGGGAGCAGGAGGGGACCACCCAGGGGCCAAGGGAACGGGACGAGGGAGTGACGGAGGGAGCAGGAGGGAACACCAGTGAAGGCAGGCAGGAGGGGGAAGCCGTGGCAGGCGGAGGTGCAGCCGGAGCCGGCGAAGGCGCCGTCCGACGCTCAGCCAGAGCAGGGGGACCCGGAGGCGGCCGACACGGACCCGGAGGCGGGACCGAGGACCGGCACCGAGGATCCAGGGGGGGGCCCGGCGGCGACCGCCGACCCCGAGCCGAAGGCGGTTGAGAGTGATGGCAGTTTTAGGGAGTCACTGGGGTTGGGGTTAGGGACAAGAGCAATTGCAGGGTTTGGGGTGACTGGGGTCAGTGTG